TCCTCCATCCTTGGCACGTGGCTCTGGGATTGCTGCTGGCCAGCACCAGGGTGGGAAAGTCCTATAGGCAGGAGCACAGCTAAAGATGACACAAAGGGTAAGGAATGTCCCAATCAAACCCAAACATCACTTAAAAAGCTCACAAGAGACCTTCCAAAAGAGACAGGGGGAAAAACTTGTAACTGCCACCAAACTCTGATAGCACAAAGAGGAGAGCCCGTGGTTGGCGTGCTGCTGAGCTGGCTGGGCTTCCCTAGGGGTAAATATCGCAGCTGGATGAACAGTTGTGACTTGACACATGCAAGAACCATTTATCGCCCAAACTGCCAGATGTCTCACTAAGGTGAGGTCTGCAGAGGACAATGGAGAAGGTTAGAAGGCTCTTCACAGCATGAGGAGCTCGTAGTGTCCAGTATGGCACTCACCCCTCTGCTATGAGAAAGACCAGGGCAAGATTTACTAGCAATGCAGAGCAAGCACCCAGAAGAACGAGGCTGTCCTCTGCTCACTGTGCTCCACTAACAAAACACACATGCCTGAGGAGAACAAAGAATGGACCAGAAGTGTCCGTGTGTATCTATGTGTATGTGCTGTACACACACACACACATTATCTTTTAAATCTTCCAATTTAGCTTCTCTTTTGATCCTCCGCACAACCTGCTCTGCTTATCAGACACACACAAAGGTAGACAGTGTTCAGTCAGCAGCGGCTTGAACTCAGGACTGCCAGAAGTTAGTGCCGGTGCAGCGTGCCAAGCCCATGCCAGGCTTGTGATCTTTTGTGGTGAGATACAGCTGGGGACACGGAGCTCAGCCTGCTGAGCACTTCACCAGCCCACTCACAGCCTCCCCAGCAGATCAGGACATTGCCTCCACTGCTTTCCTATCACTATCCCATCTTGTTTTCTTCTCTGTTGTCTTCTGACTTTCTGCTACCCTCTGGGAGCTCTCTTCTTTACAGCACACCCACAGCAGCTATCCTATCCTCCCGTCCCCCAGAAAAAGAAAGCTACAATTAGCAGGGTAGTACTTAAGTGAGGGTTTTTGAGTGGGTTCAGCACAGCTCCTGCAGATGTACATGCCCTCGCCCCGGAGAGCCCTGTGGCAGGGGTTGCTTTTGCTGATGAACAGGAGTGCTAGAGAACAGCAGAACTGAAGTGCCCTGACAGAAATGCACAGCATGAGAGGTGTGTGTGCACATATACCCACACACACGTACGTACAGAGTATATAAATATATACACATGAGATACCATCTATATATCCAGAGAGATGTGCGTATTCAACAGAGTAATGGTAGACAGTGGTACAACACAATTTATTGCCTCTCAAGAAATGGCACGTAAGCAGGGTCAGGGCAACCTGAAGGGCAAGGGGGACCTTTTTCCTGGGAGGGGGTTAAATAAACAGCATCATCCCAGGATGGACCGGGGTGCACAACCTGTGCAGGTCACAGCTAGCGTGCAACACACATTCTTCTGGAGTGGGCTACAGAGCCGTGCCAGCCTGGCCCCGAGCCAGGCGAGGAACAGCTGCGGGGGATTTTCTGTGGAAAGCTTCATATCGTACCACATTTAGTTCTTCAACCCCTTAGAAACTCACAGGCTTGGAGTGAATGCAGGTGAAACAGAGCTGTCGCCTCCATTTCAGTGCTGCATCCGAGGAATAAAGCACGTAACATTCAACATGGAAGGGAGAGGTGCTTGCTGACTCCCTGGGACCATGGAGAACAAGAAAAATGTGGTCCCTTTCACCAGTTTTAATTAAATAAAATCAAAAGAAATTCAAATCAGAAAGAGGTGAAAATGTTGGCTCCTCTGTTTTTTGGTTTTGTTTTCTTTTTTTTTCATCTCTGGGCTAAACTACATCAGAACTTCAGGTCTTTTTGCAAAAGGGAAAGAAAAATAACCACAGAATAAGAAATTCCAGGGGTCAAGCTGCTGATTGGAAAATACTGCAAATACAGTTTGCAAAGTAGTCCACACAGAAGAGTTTCCCCAGTGTTAAATACAAACATAAAAGATGTAAGAGAACATCTTTGATGAGGTACTGGAGTAGTTTCCACAATTTACAGTATTTTTAAAACCAAAGTTAGGGCATGACTGTAACGAGTACAATATGGAGTAATTGGTCTTATTTTTAGAAATAAGAGTTTGCAAACTGATTCAGAGAGTGTTTGCGTCTCTCTAGCGTATAGTTGTTCATGTATCTCAGAAATATACTTGAGATACATTAAGATTCTCAACACCAAGGGTCTCCTCGTACACCTCCAAGGCACAGCCTGACCTCGAGTCCCTCTGGTACAGCTGAGTAACGGGGTGCTTTCTCTCGAGATCAGGCTTGTTTGGGACAGCTCTCCTTCCCCCACGTACACACAGGGACACACACAGTTAGACCAGTTGATCTGAATCAGTTTTTGCAAACTATTTTAATTAAAATATTAACTTGTTGGAATAGTCCAGGTCTGCACATGATATACATGTAAAAATGGTTACTACACAATTCTTTTTGAATACAAAAAAAAGCCAATATGGGATAGCCATCATTTGGATTCAGCATTCAGTCATGCTCGACATTACACAAAGAGATGGGTTGAGAGAATTCTGTTGAAGTAGCTCAATTTAAGCCAGAGACTTTAACCAAATTCAAACCATAACAGAAGCAACAGAATGAACCCACTGAACTTGCAGGTATAGCCTGTCCCCACTGTCACTGCTGCTGTTTGTGATAGAGGAGCTGAGTGTTAGCACCACGCTCTGGGCACACCCTCCACTCTCACATGGTCAATCCCAACACAATTTCAGCCCTTCATTTCATTTTTGTCTTTCTTTCTAACCCCAGGAAAATACAGGTACCTTTCCTGCCTCAGTTTCGCTGCATCTCAACAACACTGCAATGCAAAAGAATGACCCCAAAACATCCAATTCCACATAAAAACATAGCAGAGGAAAGGACAGGACAATTCACAGTCACCACTTGGCCCGAGGGAGCAACCAGAGTCACCTCCGTGGGACCACCGCCTCATCCTAGGCTTCTGTCAACTGTTAGTTCTACAAAGCTCCTCACTACGGGGCTGCTCAAACTTATTTTGGTAGAGTTTCCATCTTCGATTAGAGTGATATGCTAGGTCAAGATGCTAGAAATCCCAGTTGGATTCACCAGACACTGGCAGAGAGTTAAGGATTGGGAGTGGATGTTAATTTAGCTAACGAAAGAACGTCGCCCTGTTGAGAGTACTGAACAGCAGCGAGACACTAGAGTATTTACTATATAAATATGTCACATGGACAAACACATTCGGAAAAACCTTGCTTTTGAGCCCTATAAACATATTAAAGGCAAATCCTAGAGTTAGCAGCTAGTGTTTTCTTCAAGATGATTAGTGTGCAAGGAAAAACATTTACAAAGAACCCTGGCTGATCAGTCCCCAAGACGGAAATCTTTGCCTCAAGCCAAACTTCATCTACCTGCTCTT